TTCTGTATAAAAAAGCACAAATTCATAAATATTAAAGTTTTATTCTGCTAGATAAGAGATCACCATCGATTTTAAATTTAGAGTATCAATTCTCTGCCTGCGGCCATTTTGACATCTTCTCGGTTTAGAAACCACGATATATCTATAAACCACAAAGGACCAAAACCAGCAGTAACCTAACGTAGTCGCATTTATCCGACTAACTAACTTGATACGGAAAATGTAATTATTTTTTTAAATAACTATGGTCTGACGTTTTTAAACTGTTTTTTCTTTACGAAGTTTTTGAAACAAGAAATTTATATGGGAATTAGTTAAAAAGTCAAAGTTCAATGTCGTAAATAAGTGTTCCGTGTAAAATCGTTTTCGAAAATCTAATTTGTTCATAATTCTTTTATGTAATAAACTTATTTAGATAAATTCGGACCTTCTCTTATCTGATCACCAGCATGGCTAAAGGAATTATTCTCTGAGGTATTGTGAGGTGACACGTCCAGGTATTCAAGCGATTTCCTGTCGGGCTTAAAAACTCTTATTACACAATTACATAAAGCATGTTCATGCATCACTTCACTTCTGAGGGTATTGATCAGTGTACAAAGCCGATAACTTGTAACTTTCCATTTTGAAACTATCAGGTGTATAATATCTCTGTCTTGAGTGTCCGATAGTGATATACTAGTCATTACTAAACTCATACGCTTGTTTATAAATAACATTTCTGGTGTAAAGAATGATATTTATGAAAATCTAAATAATTCCCAAAAAAGATTTGACAAAATAAAAATCTATTTACATATTTTTTCCAATGGTAAATTGGGGAAAATGTAAGTATATACTCGTTGTCAATAATGATGGACATTTTGAAACATGAAAGACTATTGATTTAACAAAATTGTTGGGTATAATGTATATTAATGTGAACATGGTTCTAAAAGAACCTTATACCAATTTTCCTGTTCCGACATGTATGTAATATATGCCACTGGACGTACACAAATGATCCCCAAAAAGTTTATTTGAAGAAATAAAGAAACTTCACTCCGGATAGACTGATAGTAGTTGTATTAACGTCTGATCAGCTTGAGGGTTGATTAATTTATTAAGTTAGCTTGTGGGGGAATAAACCATTCCCAATATTGCACTTATGCATAAAATATTAAATAAGAGTAATATAAGAGAAAATATAAATACGAAAAGTCGCATATCTGGTAAAAAAAAGTCTCACCAACTATAGGATTTCACGTACAATTGTCATTATAATCGAAATAACGGACAGTCATTAAAATACATGCATGTACGTTTTGATAAAAAGGGGTGCCGCAGTTGCATATTATTCATCATAAATCTATTTCAAGTTTATACTTTCCTGTTATTCTTATCAGTTAACGCAGAGACATGTAACTTTACATCTCTAGTTAACGACAATCAACTATATAAATATCTGAATCTGATGTGACTTACCGTTCATCTCTTTCATTTTTTTTCTTCTTTTTTTTTTTGATTTGGGCAGGAACATAAACATTGTTAGATATAATGTTCCCAGGTTTGAGGCGGGAGGGGGTTGGAGGTCAAGTCTATCGAAAGTTACAAAATAAGAACATTGTATTTATGAATTTACAAGAAGAATTCTGTTCTTGGACGTAGTTTTCTTCTTTTTTTTTTAGTTCAGTGATTTAAATTGAGAAAAAATCTAGTCAGAATTTAAATCGTTCCGATAATCCCCCACCTAAGACTCCTCTAAAATCATGAATGGTCATGCTTCACAATCATCAGAATTTACTTTGCATTGGTACATTCTGTATCGGTAGTGATTAACCTTGACATTTCCGGGTATAACTACTTGTATATTACCTGTATGTCGTTAGGTACATCGTCCCATGAGGTCTAACGTATACAGGTTCACATATATAATGGTTTCTGATATAACAAGGTTTTATGACATTCACACTTCTGCATGTTCTGTATACCAGTTTCTTATCTTATTTTCAGACCGAATGAGGATGTGAATATTTTCCAGGAAAAATATTGAGTATCAAAGTATCAAATTAATTTCGGGATTTTTTTCTTTCTTGGTATTAAATCACAGAAATTTAAAGAATATACTGCTTATAGATATAAGAAGATGTGGTATGAGTGCAAATGAGACAACTCTCCATCCAAGTCACAATTTATAAAAGTAAACCATTATAGGTCAAAATACGGTCTTCAACACGGAGCCTTGGCTCACACCGAACAGCAAGCTATAAAGGGCCCCAACAAATTACTAGTGTAAAACCAGGAGTATTCTTGTCAGTTAAGACAGACATATAAATATGTATATATATGTCTGCGGTATAGACATGGTTTATAATTGAATGATAAGTCTTGCAAAGGTACAAGATATAAAGCACATTGAAAATTGATTCCGCCGGTCTGTCTCCATTCAATAAAGGAAAGTTGACGTTAGATTGATTCTGTAAATTTTTTTTAAACATCGTTGGTCAAATAGCTAAAGTATTTGTTGTGAGATGTAGAATATTTTAATAAGGACATTCCCGATTAGGTAAATATAGATCGCTTTGGACTGACCAAACTATATTAATGTAACTGATAATTTTCTCTGCACATTTAAATATTCAAGGTTACCGATGATAATTCAAAATAGCACAGTTTTTGGTTTATACGCTGTTTTCGTGGGCCATTTTTATTTATAAAATTATTTCATTGAACGTTATTCAGAATTCCGATGTTACAACAAAATACTCACCCATATATTTAAAAACTGAGCTAACGCAAAATATAAAAAATATATAAAACGGCGATTCAGGTATTTTGCCACCATATTCCTCCCCAAATAATTATTTTTTTTCTGTCTCAAACCCACATTTCTCTTTTATCATTTTTTATTATCTTTTTCAAACCGGAAAATAATTTTTGTTCGTAATTATTCGATCTCATTCCAATAAGACAAAGTTGACCTTAAATTTCCTGACAACTTTTTAAACATCTTTCTTCAAATGGCTGAAGTATTTATACGTTGTGAGATTTAAAATATTTTGATAAGGACATTAATTCCTGAATATGTAAATAAAGATCGCTTTGGACGGACCAAATTATATAATTGCAATTGGTAATTATCTATTTCAAATATGCAAGGTTACCGATTCTAATTTAAAATAGTACAATTTTTAGTTCATACACTCGTGTTTAGAATGCTCAATTAAATTAATTCAGTATTTCATTATTACAAAAATATTCAGCAGTCATAATTCATTTTAAACTGAGCTTACGGAAAATATAAAAATATACCACGGCTATCCAGTTATTGTGCCACCATATTACTCCCCCAAAATAATTATATTTCTTTTTTTATTTTCTGTCTCAAACTATCACTACCGTTTATCATTCATACGAAATGATGTTCACACCTGGAACGGTGAACCGTGACGGCTAAAATTCACTGAGTGAAGATCAAAAGATTAGAATTACAGAATGCAAACCTTTAAATACATTGAATTTAACCACGCATTCAACAGGTAGTCACTAAGTGTCACAGTACAATACACATTGTATTAATTTTACACAGTACTAGCGAGACTGAAGTAAAAGGTGAGAATGCAAACATGCATTTTTAATACACTATCAGTTATATATGTTTGTTGAAAATATCCGTCGGAAAAAAAATTCATAAAAATATTCTATTGTATGATTTACTTTTATTACTATAATGACTATAATCATATCAGAAATCCTTAAAATATAAATCATACATTTTATTTTTTAAAGTTGCACGGCTGATCACTTTACTTTCTTAATTATTAGTTGGTTAATAGCTACGCCAAAAGTCGTCGATGCGCTTTAAATCGTGTTATTAGATAATTAACGAACAAGACTTAAATGAGATTAATTCCACTCCCGGCATGCAAAAAGACTTAAACTACGTCACAGAAGTCAGGAAGTTCGAATAAATAAAATTAATAATTCCCAATTTTCTTCTTTATTAGTTTTCATATCCAGATAAAACTTGGTGAATATGTTTTTTATGGTATTATGAACATAATAAGATGATAAGTAAAAAATCGCGAATTTTCCCTTTAACGATATCATATACCATACGATAAACGAAACGCTAAACGCTAAACCATACCATGTACCATACGACAAATAAAACGCTTAACGATACCATGAACCATACGATACACGAAACCCTAAGCGATGACATTTACCATACGATGAACGAACGATGAACGAACGCTGACCGAACGTTGTACGGACGCTATACGAATGATGTACGAACGATGACCGAACTCTATACGAACGATTCCCGAACGCTGTACGTACGATTCCCGAATGAAAAAAGTGTTAACTTTTACGTTACAGGGACTGTACTAGTAATCAAATCTTACCTATTAGGAACAAAAAAATAAGATTTCCAAAATCCATATAGACAACACACTATTTTCAACGATAGACAGGTGTCTATACAATATGTCAAACTCTAAATTTCGTCGATTCGTAAAAGATCAATTAATAAGCAATTTTCACCTTCGTCTTTCTTATACAGCTTGCATACATTTAATTGGCAATCATAAAAATGTTTAAGGTCTTAGTATACACCCTTTTATAAACAAATAATGTGAATGTACTATACATAAAACAATTTGATTAGAATATAGATCCTGTGTCAAAGTTTTGATACAGGTAAGCAAAGCTTGGGCACAGGATCTGTGTTTTAATCAGATTGTACTTAAAAGTCTAACGCTGTTGTACATATTTATACTGCATGCAGTATAAAAATTGTTAGAAAAATGTTTTTTTAGAGCCTACTTCTTTGAAAAATGTCATCTTCAATAATGTATACATGTACACTCATGCATTATGAATTCAGTTGAAAATAAGTCGTTGGAAACTATCAGCTTTTAAAACATTAAAATCGGAAAAGATGAAGTGCATCATGTCTTATGAATGTTCCATGATCATGACATGCATGATGCATTATGCTTATGATATGATATGAAATGAAAAGAGAGGCTGCAAATGATATAATTTTCTTATTCCTTGTAGAATTTGAAGCAAAGCAAACCATAACATCGTATACAGGGAGTATAACTGATAGGGCACTAGTCCAGCAAGCTTGTCGAGGTGTTGACATTGTTCTACACATTGCCTCTATGATTGACTGGTCATTATTTCCAAATAGAAAGATTCTACATGAAGTAAATATATTAGGTAACGTAACTATTTCGCTATAGACAGTTTCTGTTTGTATCATTTGTAAAAGTATGCAATGAGTAACTTGACAAGTTCATTTTCATGTCGGGGCCTTTTATAGCCGACTATACGGTATTGGTTTTCTCATTGTTGAAGGCCGTACGGTTGCCTATAATTGCTTACATCCACTTCATTTGAACTTTGATGGGTAGTTGCAGGTAAATCCGAAGAAGCGCTTCGAACGCATGAAATTTATAACGTGTTATTTTCATTTTTTGTCTCAATAACAATCATCTCCTTACTTTTGTATCATGTGGTGAATGTGAAACAGATCATAAAAAAGGGCTAAGAGTGTGGGAAAGTCCTGTTTGTTGACACTTGAATAATTCTTGTTTTCCTTTAGTTCGGATTTCTAATGCAGGACAGTCTGGTCCAGCGACATGAAATAAGGAATTATACTATAGCACAAGACAGACATTCATATACCGGAAAGCACGACATTTAAAAAGAATGCATCGAAAAATAGCAGTTCACAGTGACACGTAAATAAGACATACATAAATCTCACAAAACCAAGCCTTTTCAAGATGAATACATTTATCATTTCAGGAAAACAGATAAGGACAATTGCCATTCTACCATTACCAATGTACGGCGAATTGGACTATATTACTATTCCACTTTCAATAAGACCTTTCAAAGGAAAGACTTACCCTTTAGTTGGTCGTATGACGGCCACTTTACAATATAGTTATGTTGGAAATACAGCAATGATGTTTGTGAAGGCAGCCGAAGCAATACCGAACAATCCAGCTCTTGGCGGACAATTTTTCTTTGCTGCAGACGACACTCCACCAGATACATTGCCGGGTGTCATGAAACCATTTCTAGATCTAGTAGGGTCCAGACCATCAACATGGCATATACCCTACTGGTTTACGATGTTTATGATGTTTTTATTTTATTGTTTACTTTATATAGTTCGTCTTTTTAAAACAGTCAACTTGCCAAATTTGCATTTCACATTCGGTAGCATAGCATTTTTAAATACAACATTTTATGTTACTTACGACAAAGCCAAGACATTGCTAGGATACGAACCCATCTATGACTACGATACTTCAATCAGACGATCAAATACATTTTATTCGAAGATAATTTGAAATAAAATACTTCAAATTAGTTTTTGTAGAAGTCTTGCTATTCAAACAAACATTTTTTCATCTATATTACTTTCTTTCAATGATTTTACGGGCGACACCATCAGTTGGTTGACCGTTATGAAATATCTGTGTAACAAATGACCACACATATGTTTCAATTCTCGTAGCCTCTTTGCCCGATTGTGAAATTACCAAACGACAGTTAATACCGAATTTGTAATTATCATGAAATAACGAAAAATGCCATACCACGGGTAGAGCAGGATATGCTTATCACTCCGAGGCACCTGCTATCAATCAAGGTATTTATTACTCCGGAGTACCTGATATCACCCCAGTTTTTTTGTATAGTTCGTGTTGCTCATTCTTTAGTTCGTTATGAAATGTTTTTTTTAAACTATTGTTTGTCTCTATGTCGAATTTCGTTTTTTGCCATGATTATGATTTTGTCTTTCTTCGATTTATGAGTCTTAATTCTGTTTTTGGTATCTTCCGCCTCATTTTTGCAACCATTTGTAAACAGTAATAAATTATTCGTTTAATTTATCTGAAAGTTGCTGCTTTTGTTTAACTATTACAACAATTCAAGTACAAGTCATTTTAGATTATACTGCGCATAAATCTCAAAAGAAGCTGTAATTATGTTTACATTTTTGATAATACACAAGTGAACGTATCCTTGATGACATTACATGGAGGCTATTGACAACCTTTTCACCACACCCCACTGTGGATCATACACTATTCAATGATTTATCCATGATAACTATCATTAATGCGAGACTTGCGTGCCCCAAAAAATTGACATGCATCGTTTATATCGTTCGTATTGTTTGTTATTTTATAAAAGTTGAGTTATAATATGTGTTTGGTAGTGTATGTGCATATTGTTAGTCCTTATGGTGTTAAATCATTCAATATGCCACTGATTATTTCCAGTTTTCCTGCCGTTGGTCGGTGTTCCTTGCAGGACACTCCAGCTTCCTCAAACAACACAAACTGGCCGCCACGAATAAGCCAATAGTGCTGAAAGTGGCGTTAAACATCAAAACAAAATTCACTATTCAATGTGTTAGTCATTCTTGAGATTAAAACGTTAATATTTTTTTCTAATGTGAAATTGATATTAATCAAAAGAGAAAAAGATATATACGCCAATGACTAAGCCACACAACAAACTAGAAAAAGATGGCCTTTAAAAGAAAAAGATGGCCTTTAAAAGAAAAAAAAAGACAAAAGGTTTATGTTTTGGTAAATAATCTCTAAATCGATATAGTCATAATGGTACAGTCGCGAATAAACTGTTGGAATATAATAGCTTATATCTTCGTCATTTGCACTCTGGTGGCTGGTTATCTCATTGGAAATCACATCATATCTCCATTTAGTAGTTTACGGATATGCAAATAAATTTCTTAAAGAACATAACAATAAAAAATAAATTAAAATAATGAACTCACGGATTGAACTTTATCCAAAAGGAGTGAGACCTGTAACGTCGACGGGGTAGAAGCCTAGGTCACACATTCATGACTACGGATTAAAACTCACGGATGATCCAGGAAATGCAGTTTGTGACTACGGGTTTTGACGTATCTACCAAGGGTTATCATCATAGGAAAGGGGGCATTTGGCGACATGAGTGATACGGATTCTTACGGTACGACACGGTTTAATACGGAAATAATACGCAACGACACGTGTCGGGGAGTATGTACTGCGGATAAAAAGCGGTTAGCTACGGTATAAGTAAGGGCTAGTACGAATGAGAACGGTCTGATACTGAATAGTACGAATCAGAATTAACAGTCTGATACGTAATGGTAAAAACCGCCACATTTTCTAAGCCGTTAATCATTTCTCATTAAGCTTGTGATTTATCATTTCTTTATGGCAGTGAATCGATGATTTTTTTTGTTTAGTTTTATTAAATTATTTATTTGTCTGTCTGTACCAAATTTACTATTTTTGGAGGGTTTCAAAATTTACAGTTTAAGAAGTACTTTCTGTATAATTTTTATTGGCGGTGGGATTTTATAATTGTATTAGTATTTTCAAAGGTTAAGTGACGCAGAGAAGTATTTTTTCTATCATTTTTTTTGGAGGGAGGGGGTGAGGGGGGCCGGGGGTAGTTGAACACAATTGTTTTAGGCGTATTTTTTTCTTCTGACGAGTCAATGTTTAGCTAATTTCGTTGTCTCCTTCACATCGTACGTCAAACAATTCCGATGTCGCATGAAAATTCAAGTTTGGCATATTTTGTTGCATGCAGAATAATCGTCCTTGATGTGCAAACATTGAGACGAGACGCCATTTAAGTCCCATGGAAGCCTTGATTAATATTACATAAAAATAATTCAAAAGTCAAGATAAAGTATCCCTCAAACGGGTCTTACTTATGATTTGTCAAGCGTACGTACCTTTCGTCAAATTGTAAGAAACCTCTATTAGAAGCGAGTATTTATACAGAATCCCAGTTTGTCGTGGACCGTAACATTCCGTATTTTGTCGTGTTGAAACGTAGTAAACCGTAAAAGACTTTGAGAACCCTGGCTGATCCCTAGCTATCCGTATTGCATAATAATGAAATCGTGCCGTTCTGTTGCAAATTTGTAATAAACTGTATTGTACGTAGTTCTCCGGAACTAACCGCAGAAATCCTTCGGGCCTTCGAATAAGTACGGATTAATACGGTTTCAATACACTAGTAACTAGGGACTAAAACGGATCAGTACGTTCTAATACGGTTTAGTAAGGATATACTACGGTTGTTTGAGCCGTGGTCAAATTGTGCGCATGTTCAAAAATTTTCACGGATATACAAGACTAATTTTTAGCACTACGATACAATACGGAAATCTATGGACCAATACAGATTGCCACGAATGATGCCGGATTGTATCTGTAGCTAATCCGGCGTCAAATCCGTGAATGTGTGACCTAGGCATTTTGATGACAACATGTAAATGGTTCAAAATAAAAATAATAAAAACGGAGTTATGTATTCGAAAAACAATAAACGAAATGTTCTTATTGCAGATTAGTGAAATTGAATTTACAAACTTCTGCAATAGATATACTTACACCCACGGTATTGTATAAAGAGCAGAGGAAAAATCAGTTACTTAAATCAGTTAAAAATCGATAGCTCTATCTTCGGAGAAGACAAACAAGAGTAAGTGTTGTGATTGGATCCAATATGCACATAATTTCGTCCTTTGTTTTTAAAACAAATTTGAGTTTTTCATATGTTCGTAAAGGCCATTTATCGTTGAATTTCTGAATCTATAAATTGCCGTTTAACATTTAGAAAGATTTGGTTATACATGCATACACTAGACTAGAACAAGGACGAGACGCACGCTAGTCGTTCCATCATATTTTTTTTTCTCAAAATAGCGGGTGGCAAACATATATTAGATATTGATTAGTTTTGACATAAGTGGGTATCATCCGTCCTGTAGCAAATGCTCATGAAATGGGATAAAATTACATAAATGTTCATACATCAGAAAAAAATTCAGCTTACTTAAACACATGTAGAATTTTAATCTTATAAAACCTTTGTTATTTTTTCCACATTTTTTGAAAAATAAAAAGGTGCCAATGTTAATTAGGAACTAAAGGGTCGCAGCAGTCCATTCCATTATTCAAAATAGGTTATTTCTTAATGTTCACGCGTATTTTGGAATTAAGGTCCTCCATAATCCCTCAAAAGGGCATTGCTACTCAAACGACAAGTTGTATCTATAATCAGGGCATGAATGATCGCAAAGGTCCTTTAAAAATAAAAAAGAACCCAAATCCAATGTATAGTTTTTCAATTTGTATATACGTTTTTGAATTCAGGTCATCCATACATTAAAAAAGAAGGAATTTCTATAAAAAATAGTTATAGAAACCCACTTGTTTATCCTCCGAAACTAAATAAAAATTTCAAAGAATGTTTTGATGTTTATCTTTTATTAATTTGAATATATGTTAATTGACACAAAACATGACGAATTCAGAAATACGGGATAGTGTCTCAGTCATAAAATAAATTATCTATTTCATTATTTACTTTTCAGCTTGAATACTGAAATATTAACTATTTCATTATTCATTATTCATTACTAAACGTTGAATAATGAATAATGAACTATTTCATTATCCATTTATTGAATACGTACTTCAGCGCGGTAAATCATTTGTACTTTTTGAGGTTATTATTACGCCTTGGAAGTTTTAGACTGCACTTGTAAATACACAAAGTCGATTAGATATATTCATAGCAATCGAGTTATTAATAGCCTAATAGACCTGGTGGATCTAACGAACCTGTCAGTGATATTTACCTACTAATGTATAAAAGGCTTAGCCTACAAAACGAAACATTTTGACAGTGGTGATAATGACACCTTTTTTAACTGTATTTATTTTTATTTATCCGGATAATTTCATTTTTATGTTTGATTTTATGTCCATAATGGTTTATTCCTCCTATTCCCACTTTTTATAAATCTGGTAAGAAAAGTTAAAATTTCATGTGGGAATAGGGGGAAAACTTGTGCAAACAAAGGATTATACTGTATACACATTGTTAAATCAACTTTCAATTGACAAGTGTTTTTTTGATAGGTTAAAGGTTATTTTTGTATGTGTTAAATTCTGTGTTTTTAATTCAAATTAATATGAAAGAAATGGAAACAAATATAAGTAAATTTATTTTATTTCTTTTATAACACAAATTCAACAGAAGATTCAAGCAAGCATTATAATATGAAACACACAATACAAGTTAACAGTACTAAAACAAACCACACATTGTAGCACACACATTAGAAATTCACTGTATATAAGTCTATTAATGTTTAATAATCTATTCAACGCGAATAAGGTGGGAGGCTGCATCACCAAACTGTACTGTTGTAACTTCCTAGTTGCAATATCTATCCATAAGCTCTTCTAATCTGTTGTTGATTTCGACATACTTTCGTTTTTGGGCCACTCTCTTCCCA